TCTTCTTCTTCTTCTTCTTCTTCTTCTTCTTCTTCTTCTTCTTCTTCCTCTTCTTCTTCTTCTCCGCCTCCGCCTCCGCCTCCGCCTCTGCCTCCTCTTCCTTCTTCTTCTCTTTGTCTTCTTCATATTATTATTACTATAATTATCATGTTTTTCAAGACATGGTTTCTCTGTGTGGCCTTGGCTCTTCTGTAACTAGCTCTGTAGGCTAAACTAGCCTCGAACTCACAGAGATCCACCTGCCTCTACCTCTCTTGAGTGCTAGGATTAAAGGAAGACACCACTAAGTGGTCTCTGTTTTATTCAGATTACCCAGTACAGCCTTAGTTGTTTGTTGTAGGCACTGGATCATCATCTTGAACTTTCTTTTCTCTCCTCACCTATCATTTATTTCTCTAATCCTTGGTAGTTTGAGTCCTAACTACATAACTACATCTCTCTCTTTTTCTCTCTATACCCTTCTATAAGCACTGTTCCCTTACAAGCAAATTTCTCTATTCCAGCTACAATTATCCTTTAACAGTGTAAATCTGGGCCAGGGGTATATCTCAGATGGTTTCGCATTTGCCTAGTAGTATGTACAAAGTCCCAGTTTCCATCCTCAGCACCACACAAGCGTGGTGTGGTGGCACAAGCCTGTGCTCACAGTGCTGTGGAGATAGGAAGCAGAAGGATCAGAAATGGAGTACAGCTTCAGGTAGACAGCAAGTCTGAGGGACCTGCCCGATGTGAATCTGACGAAGCCTTTTCCTCTTTGGTGCTATTCAAAGACTTCTAAGTACCAATCCTTTGATTAGGTCTCTGACTAGTTTATTGGTTGCTGCTTATCCCACTCTGAACAGTCTCCTTTCCTAGGCAGGCTGCAATTGGTTGTGCTTCTAAGGCTTTGTCTAAAGTTCTAGTCCTCAGTTCTTCCTCACACACTGGATCTCAGCCTCAATAGGAACTCTTCATTTTGAGCTTCAGACTGGCTGCTCCCATTGCTACAGCTCTAAGCTCTATGTGAACCGTGATTATATCTCCGGTGGCAGCTTCTGGTTCAGGAGCCATAGCCGTGCCTTGACTGATGTGGGTGGCTCTCTATCCCCCGAATTTTGTTTCTTCACGTGCTTTCCACACACTTAATAATTAATTGATAAAAACACCATGCTATTTCATATTGTCTTAGTCTTATTCTCACTGGGAAGAGTTGTCTAGCCCGTCTCTGTTCCCGATTCATAATTGGCACGCAGCTATAGTTATCATCACAAACTGGAACCCAGGGAATGGCTTGTAACCACCATACTGTGTCATGTTCGAATTGTTTATTTGATTACATTTGTTTGTAAGAAGAGTTTGTGCTTAGCTTCACTCAAATAGATGAAGGCTCAATTTTCTTTATTTTTGCTCGCTGTATTGGGACGTGAGGCAGGTTGAACTGAATCCAACGATTGAGAGACCTTTAAGAGATAATAGCTACAGTAATAATGGCTAGTGTTGAATACCTTCTGTATTGAGGTGCTTTACTCTGTTAACTCACTGACATTTCTCAGCCTCTTTGAAGGAGTTTTACTCTTTCCATTCCATAGACGAGGAATTGGAGACCTGGAAAGGTTAAATCATTTGTATTGGCTTACCCAGCTTGTAACTGATATGGTGCCTATCAAAACGTGAGGTCCCTGAGCCGACTGTCATCTGTGGTGATGATCCAGTTTAATGTGTGGCATTTACACTGGCTTCTGGCATCTGTTAGGTTCTTTGCCTTACTACATGCCCTGGGATAAAGTCCTCTGTGAAGTGAGGTAATTACATGATCTCTGTAGAGATGTGTTGAGGGTTTGGGCTGTAATTGTTACATGGAAAATACCTAACTAACATAATGAGGCAGTTTTAACAGCAGTACTAAATCAGTATTGGCACCCACTGGACAGAATTTAGCAGCTCTTTCCAGCTCTTCTTAATGATGGCCTAGAGATTTCTAGCCCTCCAGTCTTACCTCTTAGCCACCATCCCTTACCTTCAACGCTCTGGTATCTGCTTTAAACCGTCAAGCTTCCTAAAGGCCTGAGGATATCCTACATTTCTTGTCATGTAAAATCTGTGGTTTGGGGCCAAGCGTGTATCGCTTGAATGTGTGGTTCTGATTTTATATATTCAGTAGGTTAGGCAGATGAAGGCAGCAGATCTCTGGCTAAGAGAGAAATGGAATGAATGTTTGTATCTAGTCCAGTATAGAAAAAAAAATTCCAAATCAAAAATTAGTACTTGTTTGTGAAATTTTATTGAAAATCTTTATTTCCAAGTTCCAGAGAAGGCTTTTTAGGGTGGTCGCTCCTGTACGAATACTGCACTAAAATGCTGATGATTTTGTTTAAGACTCTTTCTGCTTATGCTATCAAACTCATAAATTAACAAGCTTCTTTACATATGCTGGCCGGCACTGCTGGAGCAAGGAATTACCAGAAAAATGTAACTGCTTATAGGCTTGCCTTACGACAGTGAATTTCCTGGTTTATTTATTTATTTTTTTATTTAGTTGCCTAACTCAAAGATGGGTAAGGATAATTAAAGTGTAACAAAAGATACAAATGGCAAAATATCAAACAGCTGTGGCCTTGGCAGGGCGTGTATCGGAGTTCAAAACACTGGGCAGAAGTGGATCTAGAGATGGAAGGAAATGGAAGAGCATCAGAGATCTAGGGTACATTCTGTCAGCATGCGGTACTTGTGAGCGAGGACTGTGTGGTTTAGAGTAGGGATCAACAAACAAAAATTGGTGATGAATTGAGTGGATAGTCTAATGGTAGTGTCCAGCTTACGTGAGTTCCTGGTCCCAATCTCTATTATGCAGGTATTGCTGTCCCTGAGTGCAGACAGCTGTTGGTGAATGTGGATGGGGAAGAAAGCATCCGAAACACAAGGACCCAGGCCAGGAAGCATAAAGTCAGGTGTCTAGGTGACAAAGTAGTCAGTACAAACCAGTCCTTCAAACGCAGTTCCAGTGTTTCATCTTAATCTAGGGATTGATTTATAATATCTATATATAAAGATGAAAGTTCTATAAATAACCATATGAACACTTTTCTGACACCACCCCCCAGCTTCATAACAACTCCTCAGTCTAAGATCATCTGTTTTTTGAACCTATAGATTCCTAAAAATTCTGTCATTATAAGCTATCTATGATATGTGCATGCTGGTAACTGAATGCCCTGAGCTAATGAGACATTCTTATTGGTAAATCAATGAAAAGATTTGGTATATCTCTTCTAGATAATGACATTGTATAGTTGATATAAATTATTATATTATAAGCAGTGTTTTATTCTCACTGTTATCTGACTACATTTCCATATAGACTAAAATAATTTAGCAATTACATTGTTCTTCTTTAAATGTGTATTTATTTATTTTATGTATATAAGTACATTGTAGCTGTCCTCAGACACACCAGAAGAGGGCATCAGATCCCATTACAGATGATTGTGAGCCACCATGTGGTTGCTGGGAATTGAACTCAGGACCTCTGGAAGAGCAGTCAGTACTCTTAACTGCTGAGCCATCTCTCTAGCCTCCAGCATTGTTCTTTCTAGAGCACAGTTTTATATCCTTAGCCTGTAAAGTTAAAAAGCATACTCATGCCTTTAATATTATTGTAGGACTGTTGAGGTTCTTCCATATATGGTCTTTCAAATGACATTGTGAAGTAAGCTTTGGGAGTTAGAGGAAAGAGGATCAGAAGGTCAAGGTTATTCTTAGTTATCCACTGTGTTCATGACCTCACTAAATAAAATTTTAAAATGGATTAGTTTTAAAAATGAATAATAGTATGAAAAGTATTCAGAGACTGGAACCTCACATACTGCTTTATTTGTGTGCCATAGTGTCATACCAGTCACAAACAAAATCTTAAGTATATGATAACCTGTGCTCATAGTAAGAGTGAAAGGTCGTATTTCTATGCGTGTTTTAGCCTTGCATGAGTACGTGTACTGATGGGTTTATTTAACTCTTCACTGCAGGTATTGCATCCATGACAGTGCCCGTGTACATAGCAGAGGTCTCTCCACCCAATCTGAGAGGTCGCTTGGTCACCATCAACACCCTCTTCATCACAGGCGGACAGTTTTTTGCAAGTATTGTTGATGGAGCCTTCAGTTACCTGCAGAAGGATGGATGGAGGTTTGTAAATAGTTTTTATCTTGAATTCAAATAAACTACAACTCTGAGGCACTTGAAAAACTGAGATATTTCAAATCATTGTAATTTATAAGTAGGTGGCATTCAGCAAATTTCCAAGCAGCCAAGAAATACATGTTTATCTTAATGATAGACAAGAAATCTCCCATTAAGAATTGATATTTGCAGAAGGATGTTTTTTCCTAAGCATTTAACTGCATACAATCTTCTGTACATATAATCACACAATAAATATGTGTATCATTTGTGAGATATTTGAGTGACTGGCAAAATGTTTATAAACTGCAAATACAGCTTCCTTTTGGGTGTAAGAGGCTACATTCTTATCTTAAAGAAACAATATTTAAAACTACAGATTAAGGTATATAAAGCATGTATATGTAAAATTAAAATAAAAAATATTCCTTGATCATAATTTGAATCAAAATAAATGAGAATGATAACATGATGGTAAACATTAAAATTAAATATATGAAATATTATTTATAAAGAACAAGTTTTTATTAAGACTTAAAGATGGGACACGGCATATTTATTGATTTATACTGTTTAAACAACAGACTCATGTAATTATTTTAGGAAATTGTTACTAAAAGTCACACCAAGCTATGAAATATTGTTCAACTTACTTTTATGTCAGTGTTTTATATATTACCATATATTATATTATGTATAATATAACATATATATATATATATATATATATATATATATATATATAATAACAAGTGCTTTTTCAGCATTGACAACTTAAGCTCTGTAAATACGTTGACTGAGAGGCTCAGGCCCTTGCTTCTACAACGTCTGCAATGTTGAAGCAGTTCAAGAAAATGAGTCTAGTACGCTAGAGACAAAGGGACCCGAACATACAAGTCGTACCATCAGCCACGTGGCTTGGGAGAAACTGTGAAGACACTTTATGAGAAGTTGGATGATATCAGCGAGAGCCCACCTCCCCCAGGGCTCACTAACCCAGACACACAGTTGGAATAAAAGTCTGCTGCCTAGCCCTCTCCTGCAGAAGGCAGTCTCGACAGACTTAGAGATGGCTGGGAAATTGAAGTGGAAGCTTCAGGCTTTCCCGCTCTGTAGAGGAGAAGAAAGGATGCTTGCTGATAACTAGTTCAATCCACTGTTTTGAATTTTTAATTTGAAGCTTAGGAGAAGTCAGTGCTTACGTGCACACATACCACTTTAAGAAAATCTAAGTCACCTATTACATTTGGTAGAATTTTATTGAGATAATGTATATATCATACATATTATATAAATATAATATAATATAATATAAATATATATCATATATATTTATGACTACTAAACATGTTAAATGGTTAGCCTTTCAGGGGGAATGTGGCTTAAACACTAGACACAGTATATATATATATATATATATATATATATATATATATACATACATATATATATATGTATATATATATGTGTGTGTGTGTGTATTATATATATGTATATATATATATATATATATACTGTACACAGTACATATATTCTATATGTATGCATATACATATATGTACTGTGTATATGTGTATAGTAAGCCGCATTCCCACTGAAAGGCTATTTAATATTTTTAGTAGAGTTGCTAGGGCAAGCCTTAATCCTCTTAAAGGCTGGTGATAATAATCCTAGCTCCAAACAAAAATCTGTCTTCTACTGCATGTTCATTATATTGATACTCTTTGGTCCCTCTGAGCTTAATTTCTTTCCCAAAATGTGGGAGTAAAAAAAAAAATTGTAATCTTGTGTACTCATTGTAGAAACTAAATATTTTGTGCATAAAATAATCTTAATATTCAACCCAGTGCTTGGTGAACAGCAACCACTTCGTGAATGAGTTTAGTAGTTACCTCATGTTCTGATGCGGAAATCAAAGTGGAGTGCCACGGAAGATGACTTGGAAGAGAAGCTAAGGGGAATGAACATTCTGTGATTTGTATTTGCTTGCTTCTAAGGATGGAGTGTAGGATGGTAAAGCAAAACCCCCAAGAGGAAACAAAAAATACTGCACCAGTTATGGGTACATAAGGCAGCAAATACCAGAGAGATCAGTTGAATTCTGTGTACCTAGGAATGCAGCCGCACATGGAGTCGTCTCTTTCCAACAGAGAAACTGTATGTGAGCTACAATTGTGTTTTTATTGACTATTTTATTTATTTACATTTCCAGTGTTATCTCCTTTCCCGGTCTCTTCTCCGCAAAGCCCCTATCCCATCGACCCTCCCCCTGCTTCTATGAAGGTGCTCCCCCACCCACCTACTCCCACCTCACCACCCTGGCATTCCCCTACACTGGGGCATTGAGCCTTAACAGGACCAAGGGCCTCCCCTCCCATTGATGCCAGATAAGGCCGTCCTCTGCTACATATGCAGCTGGAGCCATGGGTATTTTTATAATTGTTTTTATGTTTTGAGATTATAATATAGTCACATTATTTCTTCCTTCTGTTTCCTCCCTCCAAATGTGTCCATATACCCCTGCATACTCTCTTTCAAACTTGTGACCTCATCTTTTTTATAAATTGTTCTTACATATGTGTGTATGTAGACATTACTAAATACGTAAATACAACCTGCTCACTCTGTACAATATGACTTGTACATGTTTTCATAGCTGATCTGATCATTGAATATTAAATAACTAAGTGGGGTCTCTTCCCTAGGAGACTATTTTCAGCTCATCAACAAGGCTGAGTTGCCTGTAGTTTTTTGCTTAGGGTTGCGGCTTCCCTTCATGAGCTTTCTCCATCCTCCTTAGCATATCTATTGGTGCCATCCTTCTGCAGCTCAGGCTGTGGAGTTCAAGTTGGCAATACTTCGTAACTTCTGACATTCCCAGTCTCACAGCCAACTCCCTGTTCTTCTGGCTCTTAACAATTTTCTTACTCCATCTTCAGCGATGATCACTGAGCCTTAGAGGAAGGAATCTGGTTGTAGATGTATCAGTTGGGACTGAGGCTCCACAGCTCTGCATTTTGGGTGGTTGTGATTTTTCTGTAATGGTTTCCATCTATTACAAAGAGAGGTTGGTTTCCATGATGATGGACGAGGACTGTACTTACCTGGTAGTATAAGGACAGATGTTTAGATCATAGTTAGGAACAGTGCTGATTTAGTAGTCAGTTATAGGTTCTCCAAGATCCATGACTTCTTCGGCCTTGTGTCATTGGCTAGGTTTCCAGTAACAGGCATGGTTTCCCTCCTGCTGAATGGATCTTAAATCTAGTTAGAAAGTTGATGTTTACCAACATGGTATGTGTGCCACTGCTGCATCCTGGGAATTATTCTACCATGTTGGCCATTGTTATAGCTCATATATCTCATAGCTGGGTAGGACTGTTGGTTGCTTCTCTTCCTTCTGATGATATGAAAGTTAGGCCTCTGGGAGGAAGCTTTCAGCTCAAGTGCAGCTTGGGTCCTTTAGGCCCTGTGTCTGAGATGCACGGTGACTTTAACAACAGGGACTTACTTGCCTTCTACCACTGGGAGCACCCAAGATCAGTAACAAGAGCTTCTAGTGTTTTGTGTCTTGGATGAGCCCGAGAAACCTTTCAAAAGAGGACTTCTTATGGTTGGTATTGGGGTTTTTGTTAGATGACCTTTGGCCTTTGGAAGGAATATCGTCTATCCAGATGGGAAAATGTAGTTTACATTATATAAACCCCTGTCAGTCAGAGCCAGTTGCATCTGGACAAGAAGCTGGGAGCAGCTAAGGAGAGAGCTTCAGCCACCTGGGGATTTAGTAGGGGCAGTGGCAAGGTTAGTCTGCAATCAGGGTGGATAGAACTTAAAATCCTTGATGGAATAGGTCTTTGTTTTTTTAAGTTCAATAGTTATCCATTGCTTTAAGAACACAGTAAGTTTGCTTTTTGTCTCAAACAATTTTTAACTTACTTTTATTATTCTGTGTTTTGTGTATGAGTATTTGCTTGCATGCATGTTTCTGCACTGCGTCCATTATTGGGGTCCACAGAGGCCAGAGGTAGTGTCGGATTCATGGGAACTGGAGATACAGATGGTTGTCAGCTGCTATAATAGTGCTAAGAATTGAGTGTAGGTCCTCTGGCAGTGCTCTTAATCTCAGACTTATCTCTCTAGACCCTTAGAGAATTTTTTTTAAAAAACAAAACTGATTGTATTGGTAGAATGAGAGCTTTTCTCTCCTAGAATCAGTTAAGAGTTTTAACGTTTTAAAAGCATCATCAGTAAGATGCTATTTGAATGTTAATTGAAAGAACATTATTTGTCTGTCATTTGAAAGGTAATGTTTTCTGAAAACAAATTTACGTTCACAACATTTCCTTAAAATTGGTGATAATTAGTAATGACTGACTGTATCCAAAATAATAGAATGTTGGTTAATCTCTCTTAAAATCATTACACTACCATTTTAATCAAAATGAATTTGGAACACACATATTAATTAGAGCTTAATAGCTTTATTAAAATTACAAATCTAAATGCTGAAGAGATCTATAATATGCTCTTACTAGAATTTAGACGTAAGACTTATTGTAAAGATATTCTAGTGCCACAGGGAGTGTCACTGAAGGCTTATTTTCATGGTGTGAGTTGATTAGTCTGAGGTGATGTCTCATATCCTCATGTAGCTGATACTTCAGCAGGGGTGTTATTGTGTGGATTGAATAAGTGAATGGCTATAAAAATTCTTAAGAACCCTTAAATGATACCAGATATTGCTTGGCATTACTTTCAGAAAGCATTAGCTTCAGCCTCTATATCCATTTAACCCTGTTAATAAAAGTCACTTGTTCTTCAGATTTCTGAGATACCCGGTGAAAAGAAAATGCAGGTTGCCAATGGCAAGAGAGGTTTGTCTGAGACAGATCTCCCCGAGGTCATGCCTCACGGTGGACAGAATGTAAAAATCTGTTAATGACCAGAACCGGGAGGATCTTCAGTTAAAATAACTCTGTACAATATCATCATGGTAGATATACAAT